TTTTGAGGTACAACTGATTTTGAGAAATCATTTCCTTGGGGGTGAAATTAATTTTTTATCATATTTTTTTATCTGCCAGCCTTTCAGAAGCTTTCTCACACCATGCCACCCAACCTATAAATTGTCTCTATAATAAAGTATATTTTTGAGGTATAACTGAATTTGGGGAATCATTTCCTTGGGGGTGAAAATGAATTGTTTAGCATATTTGTTTATCTGCCAGCCTTTCAGAAGCTTTCTCACACCATGCCACCTAGCCTATAGATAATCTCTATAATAGAGTGTAGGTGTAACTGATTTTTTGACATGCCACCTAGCCTATAAATTGTCTCTATAATAGAGTATTTTTTGAGGTACAACTGTTTTTGGGGAATCATTTCCTTGGGGGTGAATATTAATTTTTTAGCATATTTTTTTATCTGCCAGCCTTTCAGAAGTTTTCTCACACCATGCCACCCAGCCTATAAATTGTCTCTTAATATAGTATTTTTTTGAGGTACAACTGATTTTGGGGAATCATTTCCTTGGGGGTAAAAATGAGTTTTCTAGCATATTTTTATAACTGCCAGCCTTTCAGAAGCTTTCTCACACCATGCCACCTCGCCTATAAAATGTCTCTATAATAGAGTATTTTTTTGAGGTACATCAGATTTTGGGGAATCATTTCCTTGGTGGTGAAAAAGAATTTTTTAGCATATTTTTTTATCTGCCAGCCTTTCAGAAGTTTTCTCACACCATGCCACCCAGCCTATAAATTATCTCTTAATAGAGTATATTTTTGAGGTACAACTGGTATTGGGAAATCATTTCCTTGGGGGTAAAATGAGTTTTTTAGCATATTTTTATAACTGCCAGCCTTTCAGAAGCTTTCTCACACCATGCCACCTCGCCTATAAAATGTCTCTATAATCGAGTATTTTTTTGAGGTACAACAGATTTTGGGGAATCATTTCCTTGGTGGTGAAAAAGAATTTTTTAGCGTATTTTTTTATCTGCCAGTCTTTCAGGAGTTTTCTCTCACCATGCCACCTAGCCTATAAATAACCTCTATAATAGAGTATTTTTTTGAGGTATAACTGATTTTGGGGAATCATTTCCTTGGGGGTGAATATTAATTTTTAGCATATTTTTTTATCTGCTAGCCTTTCAAAAGCTTTCTCACACCATGCCACCCAGCCTATAAATTGTCTCTTAATAGAGTATTTTTTTGAGGTACAACTGATTTTGGGGAATCATTTCCTTGGGGGTGAAAATGAATTTTTTAGCATATTTTTTTATCTGCCAGCCTTTCAGAAGCTTTCTCACACCATGCCACCCAGGCTATGAATTGTCTCTACAATAGAGTATTTTCTTGAGGTACAACTGATTTTGGGGAATCTTTTCCTTGGGGGTGAAAATGAATTTTTTAACATATTTTTTTATCTGCCAGCCTTTAAGAAGCTTTCTCACACCATGCCACCCAGCCTATAATAGAGTATTTTTCGAGTTACAACTGATTTTGGGGAATCATTTCCTTGGGGGTGAAAATGAATTTTTTTGCATATTTTTTTATCTGCCAGCCTTTCAGAAGCTTTCTCACACCATGCCACCCAGCCTATGAATTGTCTCTATAATAGAGTATTTTTTTGAAGTACAACTGATTTTGGGGAGTCATTTCCTTAGGGGTGAAAATGATTTTTTTTTGCATATTTTTTATCTGACAGCCTTTCAGATGCTCTCTCACACCATGCCACCCAGCCTATAAATTGTCTCTATAATAGAGTATTTTTTTGAGGTACAAGTGATTTTGGGGAATCATTTCCTTGAGGGTGGAAATGAATTTTTTAGCATATTTTTTTTATCTGCCAGCCTTTCAGAAGCTTTCTCACACCATGCCACCCAGCCTATGAATTGTCTCTATAATAGAGTATTTTTTTGAGGTACAAGTGATTATGGGGAATCATTTCCTTAAGGGTGAAAATGAATTTTTTTTGCATATTTTTTATCTGAGAGCCTTTCAGATGCTTTCTCACACCATGCCACCCAGCCTATAAATTGTCTCTATAATAGAGTATTTTTTTGAGGTACAAGTGATTTTGGGGAATCATTTCCTTGAGGGTGGAAATGAATTTTTTAGCATATTTTTTTATCTGCTAGCCTTTCAGAAGCGTTCTCACACCATGCCACCTAGCCTAAAAAATACCTTATAATAGAGTATTTTTTTGAGGTACAACAGATTTTGGGGAATCATTTCCTTGGAGGTGAAAATGAATTTTTTGGCATATTTTTTTATCTGCCAGCTTTTCAGAAGCTTTCTCACACCATGCCACCTAGCCTATAAATTGTCCCTACAATAGAGTATTTTTTTGAGGTACAACTGATTTTGGGGAATCATTTCCTTGTGGGTGAAAATGAATTTATAAACATATTTTTTTTATCTGCCAGCCTTTCAGAAGCTTTCTCCCACCATGCCACATAGCCCATGAATTGTCTCTGTAATACCTAGAGTATTTTTTTAGATTTAAATCATTTTGGGGAATCATTTTTTTGGGGGTGAAAATGAAGTTTTATTTATATTTTTTCATCTGCCACCCCTTAGAGATTTTCTCAGTATATGCTATTTAGCTCATTAATTACTTTCGATACCATATATACAATAATCGGTAAGTGAAAATTCGAAGAAAGGTTTTGGGTTAACTCTTGTTCCTGCGAATTATTTAATTAGGGTGGAAAATGATTCTTCCTATAGGGGTGCTTATTCTCGTGCATATATATTTATCATTACGAGCTGTTAGCTGTATCCTTCACAATCACAGTCTGGTCGAGGATGTCGACGCCACTGGTCATTCGGGTATCTTCGGCAGATTGTCCGCTAAATTTTGTCTGCCAACTTCACACCGGTCCTCCTGCGTCCGTTTGTTAAGTCATATTGCAAAACATTTATAGTACCCTTTATATCGGTATTAACGGATTCTTTTTTATCTAAGATAAAGAGGCTTATGTGTGAAATTTAAGTAATAATAAATTTCTAAGTCATCCGTTTTCATCCACTTTAGTACCTGACATTTAGCCGAAACGTGGTAAAATTTACGCAATCTGAATACAAACCGTACAAAATTATTTTGAATCACCTGAACAATATTTTTAGTAAAATAATTTAATAATGGGAAATAAACAATGTTACAGTAATTATTCAAGTTAGATAAAATCTCACAGTCTTTTACGCAATTTAAACTTCAGTGAGGTGGCAGCGTTCTTTGACACAGGATCCAAAAACTGATGCCACGAATTGAAAAATGTCTATGGTGACTATCTTAACAAGTGAAACAATGTTTATATTTTAGGTTGTGGTATATAAAAAAAGCTTCTCTAACTCCATTACAAAACGGTTCACACTTAAAACAACGTCCATCAATAAGCTAAGTACACGTTCAAATAGTAAACGTGTGTCGTTCGTCTAAGAAACATCTATAAATATACGCCACGAAAAAACTTCTATTTGAGCATAACATTTAGGAAAACTCAATATCCGCGCACATCCTGATGATTTCGAACTTTGCGGACTTTCGATCACACTAACATCAGTTGTGCGGTTGAGAAGTTTCATATGTATGCACATTTACAAGTGAGGGCATTTCCGCCTCAATACTTCATGAGGATACGAAGCAGTAAAGAAGGCGAAAGGTTAGACGATGCTTACCATCAGGAAATACATGTACTTAGGCCCTCTGGGATAGCCGATTGGTCCAATAAAGGATCGTGCATAAAATGCTACCTAGGGGATAATATTGTTCATGAATTTAACAGCGGCAACCTAAGCGTCTGTTCCCAGAATATTGAAAATTTTGTCAGATTGGTTTTGGACATAGTATTTGATGCAATAAGTTTATAACCGTTATACAGGGTGTCTGCGAAAGGTAGGGAAATCACGAAATTGGAGATTCCACAGACCAAAATATATGAATTGACCTAAACATACCTCAGCCCAAAAGTTGATAGTTTGCGAGATACAGGGTGCCAAAGTTTCAATTTTATTTTCTATTTTTCCTTATTGCTTGAGAAGTATTTTAGATTTTGGCACACAACTCGGTATAGGGAGATTTTCTAGTATGAGAAACAAGAATCCGTTATTTTTTATGGTCAAACTTCTAGAGGGCGCCACTTAGAGCACTATTTCGGTAAATAACTTATTATAACTTTTTTGTGCTACACTCTATACAACAACTGACCAGAGAATCTTATTTTCTCGTATTTCTACAACAAAAAAGGTTCACCTGTAAGAAGTGTAACATTTATTGCAAAAATGGCCTCACGGAAAACCTTTAAAATATTTTCAAGTTTCTGAAATGACCGCTAGGGGGCGCATCTGCGGCGATGAATCTAAAAAAGTGATGTCTCTGTGAATTCTACTATAATAATATGTTAAAAATATACCTGATCTTTAACGTCGAGGATAATGTGAACTTTTTAGTTTGATAATTTTTGCTGAGTCTCTAAACATAAAGTAGTGGGGGGTATTCAAAGGCTTCCGTAAAACCACCCTGTATCTTCGAAACGTCCGAGACGATTTTAACAAACTTGAGCTAGTTGAAAGGAGCTGTCCTTGGGCTAGAAATGTAATAATATTTTTGAAGTCTTGTTAGTTTCACATGTGGCTGCTAGAGGGCTTGTTATTCGATATTTCGACAGAAATGGTTAATTTTCTCAAAAAAATTATATGCATTGGTATGATTTTTTTTTATGAAAAGGTAGCTAAATTATGTCTAAATAAGCTTGGGAAACCCGCATCTCCATATCTTGTTCCTGACCTAAAATGTAGCCCAAAGAAAGCTTTATATGGAAATCCCATATTTTTTTTAACTAATTTCTTCTAGAAATCTCCGTTAGTTAATGGTAAAATTTTCATAATGCTTAGGGATACTAATGGCTGATAAGCACATTTTAGTTTTGTGTTTATTGAGGATATGCTGATAAATTCATTGTTGGGCCGTTCTTTTTAAATGTAATATTATTTTTTTCAGTCGGGTACACGAGCCATGACGTCATCTACAGATGGAACACGGCTAGACAGGTAGCAATAGCTGAAGACATGAAACTGAGTCAGTTCGATCTCATTGCCACGCCAGCAGCGAATCATACCGACTCAGTACTGAACAGCGATGCCCAATCAGGTATCAAACGTTACTAATAATGTCGTATGATTGAAATGGAAAATAAACTTGACGTCAATATTTAAGTCTTTCATGACTATGAACGCGCTGATTCCATTTTTGACAGGAAACAAAATTATGAGTATCCTTGAAGGAAAGATCTAATTGGTATTCTCAGATCGAACTAATGTACCGTGGGTTTTTTATACAGTATTTTTTTCTCAAAATTTGTTGTTGGATTACAAAACGCGCAAATGTGTTTTGCCATCTCAATGCCAAACGGTTGTTCTATATTATTATACTAAGTGACATATAAATCCGAACACCCAGTTTAAATGATTTTATTTTAATAAAAGTTGGTGAATGTATTTATCTTACTGTAAATAACAAGTGAAAAAATTTTCAGGCTTATCAGTTGGACATTCCGGTTTTTATACTGCTTTTTTTTTAATTCACTAACGCTCTAAAAATGAATATTTCAGCCGCAGTAAAGAATCAACGTTGGCGGATTTTGGTTCTTGACATTCTTTACGATCGGTTACGATGCCTAGAGTACGGAGACCTGTACGATTTCGTCAACTTAGTGAGTTTGATAGGGGCCGTATAGTGGGACTTCGGGAAGCTGGACTTTCTTGTCGGGCAATTGCAGTTAGAGTGCAAAGAAGTGTAGACACTGTGGTTAGGTGTTGTCAGGCATGGCTTCGAGAAGGCCGTACGCAAAGAGCAAACGGCACTGGACGCCGCCGTAGAACAACAGACCGTGAAGATCGTCGCCTAAGATTATTGGCCTTAAGGGACCGTTTCTCCACTACCAGGTCCATTGCAAATGAATGGTTTGCAGAACACGGAAGATCTATTGGCATGCGAAGTGTTTACCGACGAATGAGAAGTTTTGGCTTGTTTTCATACCGGCCACACTGGGTCCTCCCTTTAACTCGAGAACACCGACGTAATCGCCTTGAGTGGTGCAGACAACGGTCACTCTGGGATCAGGAATGGAACAGTATTGTCTTTAGTGACAAGTCTCGATTTTGTTTAGGCATGCACGATGGTCGTGCCAGGGTTAGAAGGCGGCGTGGTGAAAAGAGGAATCCACAGTTTTTTGTTGAAAGACATGTTCATCACACTGTTGGAGTTATACTTTGGGGTGCTATAGCTTATGGTTCCAGGTCACCTTTAATCTTCATCAGAGGTAACATGAACGCGCAGCGTTATATCCACGAAGTTCTAGAACCCCATCTTTTACCCTATCTTGACACCCTGGCAGATCGAACTTTCCAACAAGATAATGCCCGACCACATATTGCAAGAGTCACAATAGACTTCTTTCAACGTAATGATGTCACATTGTTACCATGGCCACCAAGATCTCCCGACTTATCCCCAATTGAGCACGTGTGGGATATGATGGATAGGAGATTGCTCAATTTGCAACGTCCTCCTCAGACTCTAGAAGCACTTCGAGAGGAGTTCGTGGTTGCCTGGAATGAGATACCACAGGAGGACATTGACCACCTGATCAGAAGCATGCCTAGGTGCGTTGGAGAATGCGTAGCACATCAGGGTGCATCCACATATTATTGAAGGTCAAAGGGCTTTAAAGCAGTGCAATCATTTTGAAATTTTTATCATTTACTTATTATGCTTCATTAAGTACTTATAGAAAATTTTATTAAAATAAAACCATTTAAACTGGGTGTTCGGATTTATATGTCACTTAGTATATTTTCTTGCAGGATAAACAACATGATTCCCTTTGGATGTCGAAATAGTATTTCTCACATTTCAGATCCAAAACAATGCCCTTGCAAAATTTTAGTAGAAGATTGCGTACCAACTAACCGGTGTGTTATGACAACAGTTCTGGGTAGGTTTTTGCGTTTTTTTGGAAGGCTGTGGGCATTTTAGGGACAATGTACTAAGGTGACGTATCTGGTACATTAAAAAACGCAGATATCCTCATGCTCGCTTGTCGTTTTGGAGGGCTGGACGATGGAGAAGCAAGTGATAAACTGCCATTATCAAAGCCAACTAAGAGAATACTCATTAATTTTTTGGAATAACTTAATTTAAGGAATATGCAATTTTGGAATCAGATTATGTCGTAGAAAAGAACTTTTTGTTTTGAAATCCCATCTCAAATAAAATTAGAGAAAAATAAAAACGATTTTAGGAACATTTGATTTCTTTGTTCTCTCACCTTTTCCGAGATCTCAATGGTGAGAGTCGAATTTGAAACACCTGGTGTATCATTATTTGAACAATATATTATGTTTCGCCTCATTCACTCTCATCAGCGGCCGGGAAATATACAACATCCTGTACCTGTACAACTCCTACTTTCGTCACATAAATCCGCCGTACTCGTGTCGTCTCCTTTATTACAAATCCCTAAGGATCCTGTTTTGAGATAGCTTTCAAGTTTTTTCTATATTCTGCTCTAATTCACTACGGTTCACTGCGATACCCTTCAAGTTGTACCGGTAGTTCAATATGTGTAGAAAAACTGTTGTTTCTGGTCTTCCGCCAAGCCATTTCTGAAAAAGCTCACGAGGGAAATAAGGCAGATCAGTGGCGTACATTCCGTTCGTATGCTCGATGTCTCATTTCAAAAACTTATATTCCCGTCTTAAAATGATATAACAATAATAGTTTTTTATTTGTAATAACATCACAGGAGGCGAGATTTATATACTATATTTGTTCTACCACCTTACCCCCTTAACAGTACAAGATGTATAATAACTAAAAATGTGTTAGAAAGTAATACCTGAATACAATAACGACAATAATAAAGCATAATCAATGTATAAAGAAAACATAAGGTCAGTTAGCATCTATCGGTTGTCTTAAAGATTGCGCTGCTGATCAAGTAGAATATCTTTCAATTTTTTCTTGAATTTGGCTAATGCATTAGTATCTTTTAAACTGCGGTCTAATTAATTACATAATTTGATTATTGGATCATTTTAAGAACTTAAGATTTATAATTTGTCGAACACGTAAATTATCCAATTTCCTACAGCTGCGCGATTCTCAGAGTTTTATTTGCAAATAAGGCTACATTACATAAATCTGCCAGAAAGCGATTGTGTGAATCTTTCATGTTTTGATAACTGTCATATTGCTTAGTGGTTTACTATCCGTATTCAGATATTATAACACAAAATCGTAGTTAAAATATCATGAATACACAAAAGTTGAAAGAAATTCTACTTTATCAGCATCGAAATATTTTGTAAACAATAAGTGTAAACTGGCCTTATGTTTTCTTTATTAATCATGCTTTATTATTGCCGTTATTGTATACAAACATTCATTTATTAGACATTTTCAGTTTTTAGACATTTCGTATTGTTAGGTGGTAGAATAGATATAGTATCTAAATTTCGCCTTATGGGGTGTCATTACAAATTAAAAAAAAATATCATCATTATTTCACTTCCAATTCCGACCATCGCGTGTCGATCAAATGCTTCGCGGTCCTGAAGATGTATGCGTGTAGCAGTCGGCCTCCGCTACTTTGCTGGCTGTGGACCTTCGATCGTCATTCACGCTATATGTACAGATAGTTTCGAGCATGTGCGTCCGCAGGAATTTTCCTCGGGGAACGGGGATGGCTCTCCATAGACAAGAGATAACTTTGTGTGAAAGCGCACCTGCCTACAAAGCTTTTTGAATAGCGAGCAGTAGCATTTTTTTCTAAAGAGCCTCAAAATTGTACCAAAAAACATGTTAAATATGCAAAGTTTTAGAGCCTATTGGAGTAACTTGATCGATTTAATTTTTTTGTTATACACATTCGTAGCTATCCTTTTTCTCATTAAGTCGACCATAATCCTTTATAAACTGATGACAGTGTTGCATAGGAAGCGCGGAGTCAACATACTTGACGCCAGTCACGAATTTTTGTGAGTGTGGTAATAACAGGGGGAATAACATGAAATTACACATTTCATTCACGTTGATATGCATGTTTTTATAAGGTCTTTGTGAGAAGTTAACTCGTGCGAAAAAGTGTAACTCGATAAGGAATGTGCGCGAAAAGGAAATGAGGTAACCCAATTTTCGACTACTTGCTCAGGCTACTTGGAAATACGAAAATTATATACCCTCCAAAACACTCTGAAGAGCGAGGGTTAGCATATTTTCTCAGAGCCGCAAAATTGGAAGTGTCTATCCAAGTATGTAATAAAATTTGAAAAACTGCATATAGAAAAAAAATCAAATCTGCTAGTTTTTAAAAATAGAATGGGTCATATTTTACTGCACATTCAGATAGACCTGTCCAAAAAAGAGTGTTGATATAACATTGTTCTAAATTTTATGACAATATGGATGATTGAGATGTTGCTTCTCGGACTCGAAAAGCTTCTGGATTACTGTAAGCATTTTCATTCATTATTAATTGTGCAAGATCTTAGTATGATCCTAGAGTATTCTGTGGTGTTCTGTCTAAGCGTGATAAGCTATTCTAGATTTACTCGTTTCTATCGTATGTCCTAAAAGTCTTAACACAAAGTTCATTGTGACCCTAATACTCTCGAGCGTAGCTCTTCATATACCAAGATGCTGTCGTCAACTGAGGCGAGTACATTTTGACAATGGAAAAATCATTATTTTAGATGACGAAAAGTATTTCACTTTGAGTAATTCTGAAATGAAGGGAAACGTCGGTATTTATACGGACAACGTAAAGGAATGCCCTGATAATGTTAGATACAAACAATAAGCGAAATTTGCAGAAAGTCCTTGTCTGATGCCAAATTTTTAACAGGGGTGTATCCCAACCTTTTGTGGGAAGAGTGAGCGGTGAAGCTTTGAATATTCAGAACTACATTTCTGTTAAGCAATGTCTGAAAACGCCATATTCCAAGACTCCTAGTAAGCTTTTCCCAGAAACCGTCTTGACAACAAAATGTTAGAACTGGGAAAGTTTTCCATGGACAAGACTATAAAAGGTAGAATCGAACTCAATTAGTATCATTGTGGCTATTTCTCGGCGTTCCTCTCTCTGGCCGACCGCCCCTCGGGGCGGACTAATTCATTTTAGAAGCGCTGAAGATCCGTTTCCAAATGAATTTCCCTAACAAGTTTACCGCGTGTGTGGAAAACACCGCGCTACTGTCTGGAGCGCGTGGTTCGTTTTAGTCCCATCATAGATGGTTTTGGTGTCACAAAAACTGATACCACACTGGACCTTGGTATGATGATAGTTAATTGTATCGGGTTTTCTAATATACTGAGTGACAAAAAAGGTAGACACCTACGTATGCTTATGCGATTTTAATAATTTTTGCTATATACAGGTATGTTCAGTGTCCCTTACTGGTAAAATGATTAAATTTTTAGCTTGATTCGCCAACTGACTGCAGAAGCTGGTTCAATAATGTGTTGAGTATCCGATCCGAGGATATCCGTCGAAAATGGCGGATTCTCCTTTTCATCTCATAATGTCAACGCGAGCATCCCACAGGGTTCGGTTCCACTTACATATCAACGATCTCCTTTCGGGTACGATCACACAGCTTTGCTGTTGTGTTGGGTTACGATTTAGTACTTTATTTTATGTATATATGTTTTACATTAGTATTTTTTGCATCGTTTTGTAGATGAAGAATGAAATGTTATTCCGAAACGTCGGCAACTTTGTAACAGGGAGCTGTACTTCATTGGACCCAAAATCTATTTTAATACAAACAATTGATACAAATCAGGTTCATTCGAAAACGAATATTAGTATAGCTGGGACCTTGAGTGGCGTGGGCGCTAGGCAATCGGAATTATGCGACCATGTGCTTGCATTCTGGACCGTTCCCGACGCCATCGCGAGTATTCGAACAGTCTGAAGAAGTAACTGCTGCCATCTAGACTACTTCCAAGGAAGTTCCTGGAAAACGCTGGAATGATTCTCGATTCGTCGATAGGGAAATAAAGATCCAAACAGAGCAGTCACAGTAGAGTCCTCAGACGCAGTTGAGCTATTGAAATTAGACTTTTCTCAGAGTTCGATCTTTACGCTTGACGGCAGAAAAGCACTGTGCTATTTGGCACGTCAGCCACTTTCAGGGCGCTGCGATGACATCCGCGTTCGAGTTGTGCTAATCTGATTTATAATGCAGTACAGCTCTTCCAATTCAGGAAAGGATTCCCGGCTAATTGGAGCCAAATGGGATGATTCGGATGAATGAAGGCAGATTGCAAGGACCTATTGTGCTCTATGTCTACCTGGAATCGACGGCTGCGATTTATTCTCATGTTTGCTGCAGTCTCTAATTTGAGATCGTGTCATGGAATAACAAACGAACAGTAGGCGACTGGAAAATATGTATGAATAGAGGAATATGTGAGTTCAGATTCGTATCTAGCACTATCAAAATATGATGTAGACGGTTCCTACGCACATACAAACAAACATACGCAAATAATAATAATAACATTTATTCAAATTGCTTTGCTGATATGATATGTCAACAGGAAAAGATCGGATTTACATAAGTATAATAAAAATATACATAATTGAATTAGAATAAAATAGGTGATAACAAGTTATAAAATAAGCAAATAGCAAAAATTATTTGTTTAGAAGTGCTGGGTGTCCAGGAAAAAATTACCCTTTTTAAATTGTCTTGGAAGTTTGAAAATAAATTTATTGGAGCAAAAAATATACAATATAGGCAAATTTCATGTTTTAAAAAATATATTGTGGAGGTGCCTTCCATTTCAGTCGAAAAACTCCTGCAATGCCGTCTTCATGTGGTTTTAAAAACTGCTTAACATAATTCAGGTGTAATTGCTCTAATTTCTTCTCGTATTGTTTGTTTTAATTCTTGCAAGGTCCTAGGCCGATTAACATACATTTTTCTTCTAAGGTACCCCCACAAAAAAGTCCAGTGGGGTGAGATCTGGGGACCTAGCTGGCTAGTTTAAATGACCTTTTCCGGGAATCATTCCCGAACGACTTCCATATATGCTCGGGCAGTGTGTGCCGTAGCGCCGTCTTGTTGAAACCATGCTTCTTGATCAAAGCTATCAAATCCTTGTAGCTGAGGTACCAAAAGCTCCCGAAGCATTGCACAAAAATGATCAACAGTTACAGTCTGGGCTATGCCACATTGGTTCTAAAAAAAGAACGGACCGATAATTCGTGAAGCCGACATTGCATACCACACTTTTGGGTGATGTACGAGTAGATGCCTTTCGTGTTTTTGCCTTGGACACTTTGGTGCCCAATAGCGATAATTTTGCTTATTAGCTGCGCCTGGTGAAAGTGCGCCTCCTCACTGAACAGAATGTTGTTAATTCGGTCATTTGCAAAAAAACGGTTTATCATTTGGGTTATATACGCAAGGTATTTAGTTTTGTTAATATAACGTACTTTAAAATATAATTGAAATGGATGTCTACTAATCCAAAGTATTTTGTGTTTGACACTCTAATTTGCAGTTTTTGTCTAGCATATGATGCAAATGGAGAAAAATGTGTTTTAGAATAGCTGATGCTCAATTTTCTGCTAACGTATAATAATGAGAATACAGCCTAAAGTGAATCTTTTCTGTTTTCAGCCGAATATTCGATGCTGTTAGTTAGCTTCCATTTGCAACGACATATGGGTAACTTTTTGATACAAGTTTATGGTCCATGTGTTCTACTGGTAGTGCTATCCTGGGTCTCCTTCTGGTTGAACAGAGAAGCAACGGCAGACAGGGTTTCATTAGGTGAGTCCATTTTTATTACAGTAGCTGACAAGGAATCCAGTCGTTTTTGACAACGTGACTCCCGACCTATTCAGGAATATTTAGTATCCTTATGGTTTCGCAGCGCTTTTGTGAGATGAAGCCTTAGGCTATATCGGCAGCTACTGGGGAAAATGAGAAGTTCTTTTCTCCACATGATCTCCTCACTCTGCACAAGGCAGAGATTGACTCGCCTCGAGTATTACTCTCATTTTTGGGGTGCTGTCGCCATGTCTAGATTATTCATGCTCGATGTTGTTGAGAGGATGACTCTTATCTATCGGTCAGTTTCGGATCCCTTTCGCACCGGCGGGCCATCGGCGATCTAGCTCTGTTCTACCGCTACGCCAATGGGCTTTGCTCCTCCTGCATGATGCTACCGCGTGACTTTGGCCTCCCATCCTAACCGTGTCGAAGTTCATACATCCAGAACTGGCCGATACGACCGGTCGTTTGTCCCCAAGGTATCGGGATTGTGGAAAACTCTACATGAGAAGGCTTCTCCCAGTTCTACTAACCTTAAGAAGTTCAAAAATCAGATTACTCGTAAGCTCCTGATAGCAGTCGCGATACCCTGGCATTTAGGCTTCTGCCTGTACTGCTGCTTGAGTGAAACAAATTAGACTTTGAACAGTAACTACGGTGTTTTCGTCAAACTATGGTAACGTTGTTGAGGACTCATGATTTGGAAATATTCATTTGAAAATCTTTTTTTTTCACAGGTATAACGACGGTGCTGACTATGACATTCCTTGGCCTAGAGGCGAGGACCGACCTTCCCAAAGTACCATACCCAACTGCCTTAGATTTCTTCGTATTTCTTTCATTTGCGTTTATTTTTGCAACCATTATACAGGTTAGTAATTTCAATTTATGTTAAATGATCCATTTATAGGTTTTAATTTATTATATACTGAGTGACAAAAAAAGGTAAACACCTATGTATGTTTATCCGATTTTAATAATTTTTGGCATCTATGTTCAGTGTACTAGTAAAATGATTAAATTTTCACCTTGATTCGTCAACTGACTGCAGAAGCCAAAGTTCGTCCCAGACATGCTCAATTGGAGACAGGTCAGGCGATTGTGGTGGCCAAGGTAAACGGTTGATACGATGTTGATCTATTAAGGCTAACGATGCTCTGGTAATATGCGAGCTGGCATTGTCTTGATGAAAAATCGGCCTTCCTGAGTCCACGCTCATTCACACTGCAGTATATTGAGCCAGGATCTGTTGGTCCTCCTAGAAGCTTCTCTTATATCATAGCCCTAAACCTAATGGTTTCGTTGTAATTGCGATTGAAAGTTCATTATCCCGATTTTTGCAAATATCTCCTGAACTATAAAATTTCGAATCACACATATATAATAGGGGCTCATTCGATAGGTTTTGAGGACCTCTATCACCTGATTTCCGTTGATTAACTACTAACTTTACACCCTGTATGTGCACTTTTACCAATACTTGAAAATGAACTTTCTAGTTCCATTAGTACCATCCTCAGTACCAATTGATTAGTACTTACATTTATATATTATTATTTTCATATGCACCAGACAAGATAATAAATTATCACTTTAACTGAAACTTGGAATATTGCAGATGTTAGTTTTTTCAAGCTAAATGGTTATAAAATGTTCTACAACAATGCAAATTTTAACCAAAACGATGGTGTTATCATCTACGTAAATGAAATCCTAAATTCTACGTCAGACACTATACAGTTCACAGAGTGCACAGGGGTACTTACTAAGATAAACATACATAAAATTGTTATCTCAACAATATCTTTCTACAGACCACCCTCAACTGATATAAAACAATTCTTAGTCGATCTCAAATATTATTTAAAAGGTCATGTTATAAATACAGACTTCGGCGTTTTAAATGGAGACTTCAACATAAACATCATAGATAGTAACAATTTGCTTATTCATGAATATCTCAACATGTCTATACGAAACTTCACCTCAATCATGATAATTCCGACTAGAGTGCTTGGCGTCTCATGTACTTGTATTGACCACATTTTCTTAAAAAATAAACAAGGAAATCATAATTATAAAGCTTTCGTAATAAAATCAGATATTACTGATCAGTATAGTACAATATCAACTCTACCCCTCAACCTTGAAGATTTTGTACATTGTATATAATATAAGAAACAATGTTCACGCAGCAACTAAATATCTGACTACAACAATCACTGAAAGTATATCAAAAGATACCAAGAAAATTAAAATAAGTCGTAAAGACAGTCCAAGAAAAAACTGGCTAACTGTTGGACTAATTAAATCTATCAATGAAAAAAAAAACGAGAAATATAAATGATATAAGACAAATCCAACAGACGAAACAAAACAAAATTATTTGTACCATAAAACTCAACTCTGCCAAGTGATCAACATTTCAAAACAAAAATGTTACACAGAAAAACTAAAAAACACCAAATCTGCTATGGAATACCATAAATCAGATCTGTAATTCATCCACACCTGAACCAAAAATTGAAGCAATAAACGTCCATAATACAACACTTAACACAAGTAAAGATATTGCTGATGCATTCAATAATTACTTTATAGAAATAGGGAAAAAATTAGCAATGAAAATAAATAAACCTAACACAAATATTACGCCTAGAAAATGTATACAACAATCGATTTTCTTAGAACCTGTGTCTGAAAATGAAATAAAAAATGCCATACACAGTTTGAGAAATAAAAGAGGTCCACGTCTTGATGGTATACGATCAGAAATGTTAAAAAGTAAAGAGTAAAAAGTTTCATCCGAAATTAGTAAGCCCTTGACATACATAGCGAACTTGATAATTGAATCGGGAGAATTTCCAGATGATTATAAAGTAGGAGTAGTAAAACTCCTCCACAAATCCGGTGAAAAACAGATACTAACAATTGCAGACCTATAACTCTAATATCCGACGTTGCAAAAATTATTGAGAAAATTATAAAAAATCGACTTCTAAATTTTTTTGATAAACATAATCTGATTAATGGAAAACAATTTGGATTCCAGAAAAACAAGTCTACCCAAGACGCAATTTCTTTTTTGACATCAAAATTATACAAATTACTGAACCAAAGTGAATATACCTTGTGTGTGTTTTTAGATCTAGCAAAAGCATTCGACACAGTAGACCACTTGCTACTATTATAAATCTTACACGACTCAGGAATTAGAGGCAAGGCTTATAACCTCATGAAAAATTACCTTTCCAACAGAACACAGTGCTTACAAATAAATAATTCCTTAAGCACAAACAAATTGATAACGTATGGTGTCCCACAAGAGACAGTGTTAGGCCCTTTATTATTTACACTTTACATTAATAGCCTGCTGAGCTTAAAATCTGAAGGGACAATCATATGTTTTGCAGACGATACTGCTAGCATTTATTCGGTTAACAACCCGTGGGATGATCTAAAAGTGAAGGTTGAAAGAGTCCTAACAATAATTGCAGACTGGATCAGACATAAATGCCTAACTATTAACTTCCAAAAGACTATGTTCATGCCGTTCACAAATCACAGAAACAAATTACCATTCTTTGTATCTCTACAGATTAACTGTGATAATATAAATACTCAAATAAATTTAACAAACAAAATAACATATTTAGGTGTATATTTAGACTCACATTTAAAGTGGAATATACATATTGATCATGTAATAACCAATATGAGACCATTACTGTTTAAATTCAAGTACCTAAACAAATATTTGGATAAAAAAACAATGAAAATTTTATATCATGCTATTATCGAAAGTCGTATAAGTTACGCTATACTTAATAACCAAATTGATAAATTAGAAATTATCCAAAAACAATTTTTAAAAATAATCTTCAACAAACCACTCTTATACTCATCTGATCTGTTGTATTCTGAAGCAAAACTATTATACCCTAGGCAACATTTTTTTTATAAAATTTTAAATTATCAATTTCACCATAGAAATAATTTTATTCCGTTAGATCACTTATATCAAACTAGAAACAAAATCAACAACATTAAGCAAACACCTTTCACCTCAAAAAGTATAGGCCAAAGATGTCATACTTACGTGTCCAGTAGATTATACGAGTATAACATATTACCAAATTATATAAGAAATATTTCAAATAAAACAAAATTCAAAATTGAAACAAAAACATTTATAATTGAAAAAATCGACATCAAATTGCAAACATGATACGTATGAAAGAAATTTAAAATTAAAGTAATAGTAAAAACCCTCCAACGTTTATATACTCGTATATGTGTGTATGTATATACCTGTACATATGTGTGTATAGGTGTGTAGGTGTCTGTATATATGTATATGTGCATCTATTTATGTGTTTATTTGTATGAATATATATATATATATATATATACAAAGAGAATATGATCATGCGGAGAAAAGTATATAACAACAGGTAGGAAAATAATGGGTAAAATCCGCAAAAAGGAGGAAAGTGGATTCGAGCAGAAAATAGGATAGGTAACCTGAGCGATACGTATTTCTGCTGGTTGGCTTCATCAGGCCCGAAATGAATGCACATATGAAACTACAAAAGTAGATACACATGCCCACACATCCGGATACGGGTGTAACCTGAGGAAACGAAGTTGGAGGGGAAAAAACGACACACGAAGTCCACAACAAGAGCCAACCTACACATTGTAGTATAAAACGGCTATACGACCTGGAATTTTCAAGGAGACGTCTAACCACCACCACGCGGCCGGTTATAGCCACTTGCTGTGGTACTTCAAGCCCAAGGGATCTACAAAGAGAATATGATCATGCGGAGAAAAGTATATAACAACAGGTAGGAAAATAATGGGTAAAATCCGCAAAAAGGATGAAAGTGGATTCGAGCAGAAAATAGGATAGGTAACCCGAGCGATACGTATTTCTGCTGGTAGACGTCTCCTTGAAAATTCGAGGTCGTATAGCCATTTTATACTACAATGTGTAGGTTGGCTCTTGTTGTGGACTTCGTGTGTCGTTTTTTCCCCTCCAACTTCGTTAGTTTTAGTTATATTTGTATGTTGCGTGAATTATTATTATTATTATTATTATTATTATTATTATTATTATTATTATTATTAATATTATTATTATTATTATTATAGTTTGCAGTAGTCCATTACTTCACCAAGTATGGTTCTGGAGAATGCTACTTTAGCTCAGAGCTGGGATCAGAGTCCAGCAGTGATGATGAAGAAGCTTGGACGCAAATGGATACCAATAAAACAATTCCTGATTCGTCACCGTCTACGGTAATTACAGTTATTTTCACTTTATCCCTTTATCTATCGACTAAGATTGAACATACTATTCCTTGGACTCGAAACATTTATTATTATTATTATTATTATTATTAAACAACAAATTTGAGTTGAGTACAAGTACTATAAACTCAAACACAAAAATAGATAATAGTGTACAGACAAAAGAAATATAACAATTTGACAATCTTAACACTACTGAAGTAGACATATACAGAATGGGAACAATATGTTAAGCACTGCGGTGTCTATCGTAATTGTTTTTGAAACTGTTGACGGATTCCGAGTTCACTACATAAGATGGAAGACTGTTCCATGCATCGAAGACACGGTTTGAGATGAAGCGCTGACGAGTAGAGGTTCTAAAAGCTTCCTTCTGCAATTTGAAGTTATGGCCTCTGAGACTGTTCGTTGCCAGACGAAACAGATGCGACATGTCCACACCAAACAAATTATGCAGTGCTCTGAAAGTGATGATGAGATCTCCTCGTACTCTTCTATCAGCAAAAGCAGGCAGGTTATATAGCTCGAGGCGGTCTTCATAACTTGGCCTACGTGTGCCATATGGCATACGTGTTGCACGACGCTGAACGGCCTCTAATAAGCTGCTATCGCGAACAAGGTTTGAATCCCATACCGGACCAGCAAACTCCAGTAGGGGTCGTACGAAAGTTGTGTATAAAAAGGAGGAGGTACTAACGGTGCAACCGCTAAATGACCTTTCCATCATATATAGCAACCGCTTTGCCTTAGAGGTTATGTTCTGAATATGCTCCGACCAGGTGAGCCGGCCATTAACTGTCAGACCAAGATCTGTGTGATGAAGAACAGACTCTAAGGTATGTTTGCCAATCTTATATGTTAAGTTAGGATTATTCTTTCCCAGGTGGAGAACGTAGCATTTCGATAGATTTAAAGGCAGGAGCCAGAGTTCTGACCACTTTCTGATCAGCTTGAGGTCTTCTTGAAGCACAGATGAGTTCATGACAGTGTTATAGACTTTAGTATCATCTGCATAGATGGAACACATAGAATAAAGTCGGGTGGGAAGGTCGCTTGTATAAAGAAGAAAAAGTATTGGCCCTAGCACAGATCCTTGTGGAACTCCACTAGTAACACGATGACTAGAAGAATAGGCGTCTCCAACACGGACGGAGAAAGATCTGTCTAACAAAAAAGCTTCAATCCATAACAACAAATTTCCCTTGATTCCGAGATGTTCAAGCTTGTGCAGGAGCCTTTTATGCGGAACTCGATCGAAAGCTCTGGAAAAATCCAGAAAAACCACGTCGACCGGTTCATTTGCGTCTAAAGATCTGGTCCAATTGTCAATGCAGTGTAACATGTTGGTGATAATTGATCTACCAGGAATAAAACCATGTTGGTTGCTAGGCAGCAGGTTGTTCTTGAACGCAAATGTCATAAGTTGTTCCTGGACGATCTTTTCGGCTATTTTCGCAGCTATAGGCACAAGACTGATAGGACGGTAGTTTTTCGCAGATGTTTTATCTCCTTTTTTGTATATAGGTGTCACAGATGCAGTACGCCAACAGGAAGGAAGGATGTGATTTTGAATCGAGGAGTTGAATATAATGCACAGGGGGTATGCGAGAGCTGAGGCACAGGACTTCATAACGGCAGAAGTAATCCCATCCTTTCCAGGGGACGAACAAGTTTTCAGTTTAGTAAGGTGCCTCTCAATGTCCTGAGGTTGAAAATCTATGCTACAGATGGTCGCTAGGCATCTATGAGGGCTGGATAAGTTCGGAAGAGTACCATCACCATCAGGTTCATTCACAAAGTCTTCACTGAAAGCATCGGCAAGAAGATTGGCCGATTTTTCGGCATCAGTATGTAGGTGGCCATTGGGATCACGGATTTGTGGGGAAGAAACCTTAGAGTTCAGGGTGGATCTCAAGTATCTAAACAACTTCTTCTTATCTTTCGATGATACAAGATTTTGCTCATAATTGCGCTTGGCGTTTTTCAAGTTCTTCGAAAGGATGTTAGAGAAAGATCGATGAGATTCATAATCCTGTTGTAGTCTACTTCTTTGGAATCTTTGCCATAACGCTTTTTTATGCCTCAACATCCTTGAGAGGTTATGGTTAATCCAAGGCTTACTTGGGTGACTGAATATCTTCTTTGTGGTCGTATGCCTAGTGACTTCCAGTTGGATTCGACGAGAGAATATATCCCACATATCTTCAGTGCTACGTTGTGCAAGCAGGTTGGACCAGTTTATTTCAGACAATGCTCGATTGAGAGCACTGTAGTTTAATAGCTTCACAGTTTTGAAATGTCTACGTGATGGAGTTTGTACATAGAATTGAAGTGAGATCAATAAGGTACAGTGATCCGACTTGCCAAAAGGAGGTAGGTAGTCTAGACTGGAAACAAAGTCAGGATCATTTACAAATATCAGGTCGAGAGTTCTGGGAGTATGGCCTTCTCTGAATCTCGTCGGATGATCTACGAGTTGGAGGATGTTCGACTTACGCATTAAATCAATATAAGGGGCAGAAGGAGAGTTGCATTCTGGTAATGTTGTCATGGGCCAGCTGATGTCACGTAAGTTGAAATCACCAGTTAACAGAATGTTTGAATTCTTGGTTAGAAGTTCTTCGATGAATTTACACAAATAAACATCACCAGCACAGGGACGCGGTCTGTAGATACAGGCTAATACAAAACTGAAGTTTGGCCGTGTTAGTTCCAAAAAGAGACTGTCGATACCATCGAAGCTCTTGGAGGTAGTAGATATTGTGAAATTGTCAGCGAATTCGGTACGTACATAAACACAGACCCCACAATACCCCGGCGTGCGAGGGGAATCTTCCCTATACAAACAGTAATCAGGCAAATTAACAACATAGTCAGGTATATTAGGGCTGAGCCAGGTTTCTGTCAGACAAAGAAACGAAGGTTTGGTTCCATCAACAAATGCTTGCACTTCGAGAAGTTTAGATACCAGTGACTGAATGATTGTGTAGCACACCGACACCTCGGTTAGCAGTTTTTTGATACAGAAGATTGCTGTGCAACAATATTGACAATGGATGGTCTACCCTTGACATATTTAATCGTGATATTGCGTTCTCCAACCGTTAGCCTTCGTTTCAACTCCTCACGTAGTTGCTGCAGTTCATGCATTTGTGACGGTGTTTTGTCGTCCAAAATTTTAACGGAGTTATAGGTAGAGTGGCTTAAAATATCATTCTTCTTGCGTAGAATATTCTTAGCTATTATAGGCGATGCAAAGCCAACCTTTATCAACCGAGGACGAGATGTACATAGAGGGTGAAAAATCCTAAAAATTCTCGAAACTGTACACAAAATTATCATGCCAGAAAATGTTATAGTGACCAAATTTAAAAGTTAACCGGTGATTGAATAACCTGATAAATATTTCGTATTTGTTTCCTTTCAGTCCAAAAGATACAGTACTGCCTTGCCAAGTAGACTACAGTCTGACTTCGTTGAAGTGATACCTCTGTCAGCATGTGCCATTCCAATGCCACACCACAGAAAACCGTCCCAAACGTGGAGCAGTTTATCATGCCTAAGGTAACATCGATACCTTTTTCTTAGATCATCTCTATTCGTCATTGTCTGTCAGAGCGGTCCGTGTGACCTTTGCTCTTGGTTAAAGTCTTGTAAGTCAGGAGGTCTGTCAGGTCTGGTTGCCCAGATACCAAACAAAGTCAGGGAGAAAGAAGGGAAGAAGAAAGGAAGGAAGGAGGGAGAGCAAAGAAAAAAGAAGTGCGTCAATCTGCGGGGTGCCTTGGCATGGCTAATTAGTATTCTGCAATTTTAAATTGATCCTAAAATTAGCTTTGAGATTGTTGTTGAAGAAAAATAATAATTTTGGTTGGAGCTAAAGTCGCACGGTTTAATTTTGTTCACAGTGGCGAGTCGCGGCCTTGTGTGCTTGCGAACTTGCTCGACTGTGTAGTCTACTGACTCGCGCAACAAAGCGTTGCTATGCAATTCCGCTGGACTATAATGTAGCTTGTTGTTTGATGTAGTCCCTTAGGTAAGGGATGTCAAGGTCTCTGTGAAGGGTCTCGTTGGAGACATACCGTGGGGCGTTAGTGACTGTACGCAAGGTTCTGTTCTGCAAAACCTGCAGGCTACGCAAATGTGTTTTGGCGAGTAAACACCAAGCCGCACTTGCGTAAGTGATCGCTGGTCTAATAACTATATTGTATAGCCGAATTTTGTTGATCAAACTTAATTTTGATGTTCTACATAGCATAGGGTAGAGTTGCCGAAACGAGATTTGGAATTTAGTTTCTAACGCTTCCGTGTGCTTCTGTCAGGTCATACCCTTATCAAGAGTGACACCAAGATACTTAGCAGAGATTTCCCATGGTACCCGAACTCCATTCACTGAAACCTCAGACGGGGCGCAGCTACGTTTTTAGTACAATAGATTGCCTGCGTTTTCAAATGCTTAATTTTGATCAGCCACCGATTCGCCCATTCCAATGCCTCGTCCACTGCACTTTGCAGCCTGTCGTGAACTAGATCCCCAGAGCACGACTGGACCACCAGGGCAGTGTTATCAGCATAGAGATAGGTTTCACAGTTGCTGGGGCAAGGGACGTCATGAATAAAAAGTGAATAAAGGACTGGTCCAAGAACCGAACCCTGAGGGACACAGGCTTTGATGGGCCGTGTTGTCGACAGAACGTTATTAATTTTGATCCAAAATTCCCTACCCTCGCGGAAGGATTCCAAAAGTTTTAGGAGCCAGAAAGGGAAGTACTTATGGATCAATTTGTAGAGAAGGCTCTTGTGCCACACATTGTCAAATGCCTTTGAGACATCCAGAAGCAAGATGCCAGTACTTTCGTTTCGGGTGAACCCACTGGTTCTTAGATTATTTTCCTCGTCTTAATGTCTACTAAAATATTGATCTGGCGACTGAGAAAAGTGTACCGTACAATACCGTTAAAACACACACGTCCATATGGAAACAGTTTAGGGAATTCTGCAAGTCAAAGAAATACGAGCTTTTGGAAACTATAAGTTTAAAGCAACTAAACCTAATCCTGAAAGATTGGGCGTGGAATATGAAGAAAGAAAACGGATAAAATTACAAATAACTAGTTGTGAAAACAATGAGGAATACTGTTGCAAGAAGATTGCAAGAGATGTATCTTATGATGTGGAAAATAATTTTTGATTCATTTAAAGATATTATCTTCAAGTCTAGTAGGAAAGCTCGTAATGCAAAACAAATGAATACTTTAATAGGAAGTATGTTTTGTGAGCTATATGTATGCAGATTAATCTATTACTCATGAAATAGTCTTGTCAAATACCATTCGGGCATCTAATTTTTCCTTCTGAAAAAAAAAAACAAAAAAACACAATGCAAAGTAATATTTTTTTAACAACAAACATTCGTGCCGGTGCAAAAATCCTCGTCCTTAACTCCAACACTCATGCTTCTTGTTAAAATACTACTTAGCAACGTGTTTTTTCCATTTTTTTCCTGAAAAATTAGATGCCCCTATGATATTACCTATTTAAAAATCCAGTGGGTAAGTTTTGACATTCCTACACATGCCTTTCATCCAATGCAATCAGTTCTAGAGAAAATGGCCAATGAAGAGAAGCATAGTGATCTTATTAACTCCAAAAGTACTTGTTTTTATAACTTATGACGTGGTGTATGTACTTTATTTTATTGAGTTTAATGATTTTTAAAAACTACGAAGCTTTTTCATCCTTGGCATAGTAGTAACCTTGTGTTAAAATTCAAGCAAATTAGTATTGTCTTTTCACTGTTATGCCGATTTTAATCCTTTGTCCTATAAACGGAATTATAATAATTCTGTTGGGTAATAAATGCTCTTATTACTGTATGATTATTATAAAACTGTAACGGCAGTAGAAATGTTGATACGATACGTTGAATTATTGCAAAGTAAACACGATCATTCTGACGAACCTTCTGTTTTATTAGCCGCTCAGAGTCAAGATCTTCGTTTTTGATCCAGAAAGGAGCTCAAGAAAACGACCGAAAACCATCTTACCAAAGTCAGACTCAACCCAAAAGAAGGAAGAAGCGAACCCCTCGCTTTAACTCGGTGTCCAAGATTGATCGCGCGTCCAGGGTCGTTTTCCCTTTCCTTTTCATAGTGATAAATCTATTTTACTGGTACAGTTACTTATCTAGGACCAATAGGATTAAATAACGAACATGCTTATGTAAGCGACAATAAATGAATTTTGTAAAATATGGTTTGTTTCTTTTTTTTGCTTAAGCATCGTTAAGGGTCATCTAACAAGTAAGGACTTGCTACATTCTGACCTGAAATTGCTCATTTCGGAAAAAACAGTAGCGTAATATTTTTATTTGGACAAATAATGCCACTAATCCCCTGTATCTTCATCACTGGTGCACGTTAAGCTTAAGTAAAGACTTTTGAATGTAGACATTATTTAGGTAAATCCACATACCAAATTTCAGTTCATTCGAGTCGACAGTTTTGAAAACATTATTCTTAAACTTAATCATATCTTTTTAATGAAACTCCCATCAAAATGCGGTCGTGTGTATGATGTTTAATTTTAACTCTTATAGGCAAATCTCGAGGCAAAAGCGCTTGTACACGTTGTATATGATATGGATAAAGTTGCTGATCTTTTAATTTGCCATACCGTTACATGATTTAAATTTAGCTGGTGCGCAATTTTTCGTGTACTTGTTATAGGGTCCTCTTCGATTTTATTAAGCACAGCTTCTTCGATTTGGATGGTTCTTACGCTTGCGGGTCTTCCTTCAACATGTGTGGATCTCTTGAAACTGCCTGTTTCACATGGTCGATCGTGAATGTTGATGGAAGTTTGTACAGTAGGCAGCGGGCGTTGTGGAAATCGATCACCATACAAACGTCGTGCTCGTCGAGCGTTACCCAGCGCTATTTCGTAAACGAAACGCATATCTGTCATTTTTTGATTACTGAACTAGACCATTATGACAATTAGCAATAACCAAAACTTAGAAATATTTGAAGTCTGAAAATAACCAGACAAGAAAACAAATATTTGACAGCTGTCAAATTATTTGAGAAAATAAATTAATTCAATTGTTTTCTGGTATGTCATAGGTGTCTAGATAAATAAGCACAATGCTTAAATATTAAAAATACTGCGATCAAAACAAATCAATATCATGCTATTTTTTCATAAAATACTGGATAACTTTATCCATATCTACGTATATGGAGGGTCTGAAAACAACTGTAAATCATGTGATATTCACCACAGGGCATATTTAATTAAAATAAAATACGTTCCATTCTTTTATAATTTTTTAGATCAATATCATTTCTTTTAGTGCTAATATGCTCTAGCTTGAAAACAAAGCCGTTGCGGACCCATGTTCATACGGAAATTTCGTCTTCAAATTGACTAAGGATTCGGTGGTTAAAGTTTGTCTACATACTTTATTAATATATTATTATTTATTTATATATATATATATATATATAATTTGAGGCGTGGTCATTGTCGTTTAGACCAGTTAGATGAAAAATAAAGTTTCCGCCTTTTGTTGGGTACTTCGACAAAATTCAAGCATATTAATCTCTAGCTTTCAATGGACTCTGCCATCTTCATCAAGAGCTGCAATAACATTGAGAAGAAATAGCAACTATTATGCAAAATGATTTTAAATTAACTTACAGTCGTATATGAGGTTGTTGCTAAATGTTATTAACGCTTTGGTTGAGAGATACACCCAGTAAAAAAAAACTAATATAAACTACACACAGCTGTATGTCAGGAACAATTTAAAACGGATTAAAAATATTTAAAAACGAAAGTTAAAATTACATCATGAACCACCTGATGTTGCACAAAATGGTGGGCACAGGATCACAAGTAGGATGAAACATTTGACATGTGTCAGAAGGTTGGTGGTGACAGTGTCGCTGTATGGAACGAAAATTTATGTAAAGTGTGTGCTATGTTGCCAAATCACTTCAGATCGTGTTATTTGTCAAGATATGTTAAATGAGAACTTGTCAACAGACCACAGGCAGTTGAACAAACTATATTGTTGATGAAATGGGAAGTTGAATTAAACAATTATTATTTTATTATGAGAAAAACCAATTATTCAAATTTGAATGGAATGGAAATTTTGGAGGGAAAGGGTGGAATAGATCAAAACACAGATTCCATTTATGGTTGTGAAAAGTCGAAATTTGGAGAGATATGTACGTGCTCCAACTTTTTGCAGTTTAGCAAATATGAGTCAATGACGCTCAGTTGCTTAACATCTGTCTTATTATTCATAGAGTTGTCATTCATGAAAATGTGGGGCATTTCCAGGAATAAGCGTTTGGACAGGTGTTTTCCTATATTAAGAACTTTGATATTAGTGTAGTTCATGGAGTGCCCTGTTGTATTGACATGGGATGCCAGAGCACATCTCTCGGGATGAAGCCTAGAATCACGTTTGTGTGATGAAATCCTTCCTTTTAGAGATCTAGAGGTCTGACCTATGTATATTTGGTTGCAATTATTGAAATTGATAGAGTAAACTGTGTTAAATCAAGCAGCGGGACTCTGTTTTTCATCTTTGAAAAAATACAGTTTGTATATATATATATAAATACAATTTATTGTTAATTGGGAAATTGGGAAACTTTTTTAGGCTTTAGTTAACTCGTTTGACGATAGTATCAAGCTTTTGGCGATTCTCTATGGCGCCTTCATCAAGATTCGTCGTTGAGGTTTCAGCCAAATGGTGTATACAAAATGAACGCGAAGATGAGAACACTTGTTACAAATATAAAACCAATCGGACGGACACATTGGGCTTATCGATAACGACGGATACCATCGTTATGTGTTAACACTATAAATCAATACACCCGAACATATTAAAAATTAACGAGAAGCAATTTTGGGGACACAATCGGAATGTAGTTTCTAACCTCCTCCGATTGCGTCCTCAAAATTGCTTCTCGTTAATTTTTAATATGTTCGGGTGTATTGATTTATAGTATTAACGCATAACGATGGTATCCATCGTTATCAATAAGCCCAATGTGTCCGTCCGATTGGTTTTATATTTGTAACAAGTGCTCTCATCTCCACGTTCGTTTTGAAACACCATTTGGCTGCAACCTCAACGACGAATCCTGATGAAGGCTCTATAGAGAATACTATCGCCAACAGAGTCAAATAAAGCCTAAAAAAGTTTACCAATTTCCCAATTAACAATTAATTGTATTTTTTTGTCCAACTGGTCGTTGGCAATGGCAATGACTACTGCTCATATATATATATATATATATAACTTGAGACGTGGTCATTGTCGTCTGGACCAGTTAGGTGAAAAATTAAAGCTTCCGCCTTTTGTTGGGTACTTCGACAAAAATTTTAAGCATACTTATACTTATACTTTTTTTATTCTCTCTAGCTTTCAATGGACTTTGCCATCATCATCAGGAGCTGCAATTACATTGATAACAGTAGCAACAATAGTGTAAAATGAATTTAAATTAACTTAACTTACAGTAGTATGTGAGGATGTTGCTAATTGTTGTTTACGTTCAGGATGAGGGCAACGTCCAGTAACATGGTGAAAGCTGGATAAATGGTACAATGGTCAATATAATTTTGGCTTCGGAATGCAGTTTCTAACCTCCTACTTCCGCTACACATGGAGAGGGGGACGGAACGGAAAGATAATGCGTCGACAGATGACATGTGATTGACGCAACGGAACGTGGAACTGTCATTGTCCAATTTGGGTATGAAGTATACGATGGACGCTCGGTAAACCTCCACCCAAATTACTAAAATGCTGAATTAATTTATTTTGGAAAAGTGTGTAGTCCATATGAGTGTACGAATGAGAGATAGTGATACACACTTGAAAAGATGGGTTATGTGAATTTATATGAAAGATTGTGAGTGAGAAATTTCAATTAACAGGATAGCAATTGGAAATGTATTCTAATTTTGGGACGACGTTGGATCGATTAGGATATGTAGCCGTTCTAGCTTTTCGTAATTCAACAGGTAGGAAGGTTTTGAGAGTCCTGTTTCTTTGTCAAGAACCTCAATACTGCCATAATTCATAGAGTGACCTGTGTTGTTAATATGCGATGCCAAAGCACGTCTCTCTGGATGTAATGTGGCGTCACTTTTGTGTGAAGTTATCCTGCCTTTCAATGACCTCGAAGTTTGGTCTATATAAACTAAATTACAGTTGTTGCGAATAATGCGATATACAGTGTTGGTTGAATTAATCAACTGAACCTTATCCTTCATTTTGGACAACAAACTGTTGGCTGTAAGCATTGATTTACAAGCAAAACGACAATTAAAGGAATTATACAGCCTGACCAATTTTGGTTTTAGTTCTTTGATGTATGGAAAGACAACATAATTAACTCTGGAAATAGGAGCAACCACTGTAGTGCTGTTATTCTCATTGGTAGAAGAATTCATGGGCGTCTGGTTGGACCGAACAGTGTTGTCATTTTCACTATTGTTATTCGCCATTGGCACAATATTCGGAGGCGAGCTGGTCAAATCAACCAGGACTAAAAGAAGTCCTTAATCACTTATAATTATGTCTCTCCTAAATTTTATGCTCTTCCCAAAATACACAAGTCGGTACTGTCAGTAAGACCTATTGTGGCTTGTGTTGAATCAGCCACACTAGCTTTATCTTCATTAATTGCAGATACTCAAAGTTAGTTCACATCAAAGGAGAATACTTTATAAAAGACTCTTTTGATGTTTGTCAACAATTTAATAGGTTTCAAATACATCTGTTATTGCGAGTCTACGGTCCAATTTCACCAACATTAATATTATTTACCAATGGGAAAATTTGACAGAAGCTGTCAAAGGTCTCTGAATATTAGTGATTTCTATTGAAATATTGAATAAAATCGTGAAAATTCGACTGTATTATAAACAACACCACTTTTTGCTTCCAACATCATGCTTTTGTACAGAAAAAACAGGACAACTTTCATGTATTTTGATATACTTCGAAGTTGAGTCATTTATTTTAACAGTGAGTAGATCTGATCAAAAGAAATGTTTTTTTCCTTTACCATTTTCCTGGTAAAATTAAAGTAACAAAGTTATAGCCCTTTGGAAGTTTGAGTACCGCCCTGTCTCAATAACAATATTATGTGGTCGTGTTTGGCGACAATGGATATAATCCGCCGTATCGGTTCATCGCATCGGAAACAAAAAAGCGAA